TTTGTCTGTTAAAACCTTTGCAGTCTAAGTTTCTTCAGGTAGGCATTTGCAGATCAAATCTTTCCTTGAGTTTGTGTGGTATTTTGGTAGGTAGCTCTCAAAATCATGTGCTCTCTAAGGTATATTGATTCCTGACCTGAATCATCATTCTCATTACATGTCATGTGATTTTTTTCTTCGGTGTTATTTTGAATGCCGACACTATGTTCAACTGGACTCCCTTTTCCAAATCTATGTCGGCAGGTAGCCTTGTTTATCTTTAGTGTAGTAGATGTTTTCTGAAGAAAGTGTTTTCAAGGAAGGAAGATAAAAAGTTGTTAATGAGAATTAATATAAAAATATGCTCAATGAAATATAGCTGAGAACTGACAGGCAAATGACTTGTCTTGCCTGTGTATAATTGGATGATATCCTTGTGCGTAATTGGGTGATATCCTGCATGTATATCCTTGCTCCCAAGAACAGTCTTGTATCAGCATCTTAAAGCCAGGCAACGTTTGGAGATGTGTATATCTTTGGGAACTTAGATTTCCTTTTGCTTGTTTCTCATGTGCCATGATGGTTTGATTTTTTGCAATATAAAATAATTAAGACAAAATAGTTGATGTGGATGGCCCACAAATGTCTATATTTCAGGGTCATGGAGCATGCCAGCTTGGCATGAGTAAACAAAGATTGCAAGTGATTTGAGGTTTTAATTAAATATTTAATGAAATAAGAAAAGGGAAATCCCCAAGAGATACAGACAAAGTCTGTAATCAAGTATATGCCTTAAAGAGGTGAAGATGATTTTTAGCATTAGCCCCAACAGTAAGCACAAGTCTATCGGTGAGAACTGCTCAGTCTTTTAAGTAGCAAATTGCTGCATGCTCCTTATGACTGATACATAGGACATTGCTCACTAATAAGAGATTTGCTTTAACAGGTGTTTGAAGAAACATCTTAAGATTCCTAGAAAAATAATTTAGTATATCCCAAAATCATGTAGAAGCAATGAATTGCAAGACTACAGCAGCCCCACTTACCTAAAGCTTTCACAGGAGAGGAAGAAAGAGGATATTTTTAAGTAATGCTTTTGACTTGGCAGCTTATCAAGTAGGATAAGAGATCTACTCCACTTGGGTGATACAGGCCGCCTTAGAATAGGTCTTACGCTTTTGTCAGATCAAAAGATTTTATTTTTCAGCTTCCTAGAAATGTATGTAAGACCTTATCAGTAATACTAACACTTGGGAAAGTCTTATGTAAAGGATTTCAGGATGGAGTTAAAATAGCTGATACGGCTTAGGGTGTGATCCCGCTCCGTTTGACTGGATGGGAGACCCGTGATTGACTTCAGGGGAAGCGGGATCGGCTCCTGCCTCCTTGCTGGGCCTTGGGTGAGGCAGCAGCTCAGCCTCCAGACCTGGCAGCCCCTCTGCTTTGGGAACATCCTCGGCGGTGCTGCCAAGAGCAGGAGGTTTGCTTGTGGTTCCTCAGCTCTTTCTAGGGAGCTTTGTGTTTTATCTGGAAGTCTGAATCAAGAATTGCTGTTGTAATGGCTATCTCAAAGAAAAGGGGATTTTTGCATCCAAGACAGACATGGAAGAAAGCTAAGCTGATGCATATTTAGATACATGTTCTAAAAATTGCAATTTCTGTCAATTTTTAAAATTTGGGTGATTCTTATGTATTGTGACCTAGCTTGTTACTTCAACTTAAGACTGAGAGTAATTTAGACTTGGTAGTTGATGCTATTGCTCAGACTTCTAGATACAGATTTTATATTATAGTGTTTGTTGAGGATATAATTTACCATGTCTGAAAATACAGATTTAAGAGCATACAGTCTTTGCCCCTGAAGCTTGCAGTTTATTTGGAGGATAAATAGGTTGCATTAAGCAAAGGAGAACATGTTTTTTACAGTTATTGGAGGCAAAGCTTTGAAATTTGTTCATTTGTTCCTTCCCAATTTTGTGTATCCTCTATTAGATGTTCCATCACTCTGTGTGTGATGCCTCAAGTACTTGTGAACCTCAGTTCTACATTGTCCTTCTATCTAGTTAACGTGTAGTTTTAGTTCAGGTCTCATAGATAAGTGAACTGTTTATGCATCCAGACAATTCCCTACTGCCATTTTTGTGGATCATTCAAAAACCTCTCTAAGTGTCTATGCTAGTGTTAAGAAACAGAGTTTAGACTTTTTTTGCTTTTTTATGTGTAGCAGTATCCTGATGTCCTGTACTGATGTCCATATTCCCAATTATATCCACATATATTCTTTGATCTAAACTTAAAGGCGATGCTTGGTTTAGCAACAATATGTAGAAAGCAATATGATTATTCAATCATAGTGTTGAAACTTTTAGAACTTATCCTTACTCACAGGTAATGACTTGGCAGCAAGCCACCAAAAACATTTTTTTATTGCTTATGTTTTCATTTTTTACCGTAATTGCTATTAAAACCTAACACCTGGGAGTTTAATTGCTCATTATGCTTAAATCTAGGAAGTATTATAGGTAAAAGCACCATGTCCCGTTCAGGATGTTGATAGATATTATTCTAGCTAGCAGCATAGACAATGGAATGACCTCAATTTTTGCTACTGATTTTTGTGCCTTTGAATGTTTAATTCATCTTGGTCATGGTCTTATCAAAGTTTCATCATTTACTAGTTGCGTTCTCCAGAGTATTCTTGTACTAACCTTGCTCATGGTGTCTTTTCTTTTAAACCAGCCGTTTGGATGAGTTTGCAGTGCAGTTTGGAAGACTTCGCATTGGTAGCTATTTCTAATATCCTTTCAGAGGATCTAAAAAACAGTGTAAAGCTGATACTCATATCCATCAAGAAGTGATATCTATTGACCTTTAAAGAGGTGTTTAAATTTGCTCTTTCAGGCTTCTGCTTTTTTCTGTGAGAAGATGCAGCATACGGTTTTGGATCATTGCGGCTCTAACTGGGAAGATGTAGGTGTATGTGACCTTTGCTCCTTCCCTGGCTCAGTATGTGTGCAGTCGGTGATGATAGAGGACTAGGAGCTCTTCTGCCTTCAGTAGTTTGTATCCAGCTCAGTTTTCATTTTATTTTTACTTTGCAGAGAAGTTATTGGCTCACCAACTGTTGTGTTTTGGCTGAGAGGTATTTGGTGGAAAGAAGCTGAGAAAGCCAAATGTGAGGTTGTATAAAAGTGATTGGTGAAATGGTAAATTTATCATTTTGTTATAATATTTATTATTGAGTCCTTAAAATTTGCTCTGTTCACCCTAAGTTACCTATTTGTTTCCACATTGTGGCTGGGAGAAGCAATATCTTAGTTGTGTGAGGCTGCATGATTATCATATTTTCTTCAGTCGGGGTCACCTTTGCAGCCCTGAACTGCCTAACACATTATGGTCTAAAAAGGCAAGGAGAAGTATCAGCAAAATGGAATTTGTTCTCTTAATTTCAGCATTTTTCACCTAGGGAGCAGGAGTTCTTCTAGCTTGTGTGATACAGAAAAGATTTGATTCTGATTGATAAAATCTTGTGGGCTGTGGATCCTTCTCCGTGTTCCTTGCATGCCTTACACCATGAGATCAAGAGGAATGAGCTGCATGATACTCACGTTTTTCTGAGCACCTGTTTGAGGGCTGGTGGCCCAGGGCTGCTGTGAAACTTGCTTTCCTCGTTCAGGGCTCAGAGCAGTATTGCAGGTGGTGGTTCTTTTGGTCTGTTTTCCTGTCGGACAGGGGGTTTCATTTTGGTTGCATAGATATTGTTAGTGTTAGCATTGATGAACCAAGAATTCTTGATTTTATTAGTTTTGTCAATTTGTTTTTCTTATGTACATTTTAAATGAATGACCTGCCTGCACGTGCTTAGAATGCAGGTGAAGGTGTGCAGGTCTAAATAATGGAATATTTCAGCTTAGGGCTTTCCTGTCTTACTTGGGTAATCCCTTTGAGTTTGAGTAGGGTTTTGCCATACAAAGAACAGTTGATGGTAGTACAAACAAAGAAAAATCAGATTACCCTTGGGATAAGATGCACTACTTGCATCATTTTTTAAGGGAGAGAAGATCGCAAAAGTTCCAAATGTGGATTTATTGCTTGATTCTCTTGCTGTATTAATGTATTAAAGTGTTAAAATTGTGTATTAAAATATCTATAATTTTATTTTAAAGTAATGTTGATTTAATTCTTAGGGGCAAGCCGAAAAATACTAGACCGTTTTCAAATATCTAATCTGTTCTAATAATGCTTTTATAGTCCCTAATTGAATATCATTATGAAAATAAATCAATGCACAGAAGAAATGACAATAGGTATTTTTATTGCATTTTTAACTGCCTTTAGGATGTGGGCTTAAATTAGTTCAGATATTAAAAGCTGTGTAAACAGATAATAGTTCACATAGCTTTTGTTTAAAGATGTTGCATAAAGAGCCTGACAATCTTGTGTTCAAGCTTGTTAGCTATTATAACTATGGCACTTAAAACTTAATGTTTCTTTTAAAGCCGTATGGCAAAATTATGCCTCCCAGAGGTAAGATTTGGGATTGGAAAAAGGTGCTATGGAAAACAGGGGTATCTAAAAGTCTTGTGTGTTAGAGAAGCCTCAGGAGAATATCGAGTTTCTGGAGTATTCTTGTTTGGCGCTGGACACTCACTCTGTGCAGGTAGTTTGTATATTGCTGAGCCATTCTGCTTGTGTGTGCATCGCTATATGTGCGTATATATTTATATAGCCTTGTAAGCTCGCTTTTTCATAAAGGAAAAGACACTTTACTTTCAAAAAAGCCAGGAAGTTAAGTAAAAATTCCGTAGTTTCATTCTGGCACATTTATAAGAAGATTTCCATGACAACCATGTAATAAGATTCATATTTACTTTGTTTCTGAGTTCCCGGTGTCTTTTAATGACTGCGGTGCAATTAAGAGCGCGCCCAAGTTGCGCGGCACAGCTGGGTTGCGGTGGCGCCGCCGTGCGCGCCGCGTCCGGCCCGAGCCTGACCTGCCTCCTGCCCTCCCTTTATTGCAGACCTGCGAGACGCTGGAAAACAATTTTGATGACATCAAGCCCACGACGCTGGGCGAGCGCGGAGCCCTTCGCGAGGCAGTGAGGTAAGTCTGGGTCCCCATAGCAACCGTCACAGATGTGGCAAAGAAAGAGTCATTCTTCATTATGGGGGGAACAAATGAGTTCATTGCCACCATTCAGCTCTAGTCTCCAAGGTATTAATTTGTCAGTGGAGAGGCTTCCCTGGAGGCTGTACTTTGGTTTTGAAGCTGCATAAATGTTAAGCCTGACTGCACAGTAAAAACCGTAAATGTTTAATTTGTTATTTAAAATGCTTAGGGGGTGCCTTGTTGTATATTTATACTAAGCTGTGAATGAAGGAAAATATTGTTCATCTAAATTCTGCAAGTGTTGAAGAAATTGTGCAATGCTGTTTGAACAAACCTGTGTTTGCACCTAAATTGGCTTTGATTTTTGTGTGTGTAGTGGCTTCTCTACTCTGATTTTATCACTATTTACATGATTTTTAGCTTTGCTAATGGTGTGTTAACATATATCTCATACTTGATATATTGCAGATGTATATTTTACTTAATGCATTCATATCATTATACTTAATGCTTATGAAAGGAGGCCAGAATTGCTCAGCACATGAACCTTCTGCCCCTTACGCTTACTCACGTAGCAGAGCATCCTCTTGCGGTCGTCAGGACCTCGGTGGCTCTGGTGCCTCGAGCGTGGTCCCGAGCACTGCGATGAGAGCTGGCAGATACAACTCCCTGCATAAATTAAGGAAGAACCTTAATTATATTATCCATGCATCTGAAAGTGAGTCTAGCCTCTGCTTTTAAAGGTTTTGAGAATTGGAGGGTAAAATGTAATGAGGCACATATTGCCAAATTTATCTGCTTGCAGAGTAAATTCAGTGATTTGGGGCAAGTGAACTAAAGGTTGTTGGTCTCTCCCCTCAAAAAAAAAATTAATTACAAATATTGAGCTCTTGCTGAAAAATTAATTGCATCCATTTGCTTTGTGGCTTTGTGCTAGTTACTCCTTAGAATTTATGGATGTTAGTGAGTGACTTTTTATCTGCAGTCGTGTTTGTGATGCTTATGTCTCATAAACCCCTCTATGAATAAGCTGTTTCAGAGGTATTCAGACAGGAGATGCCAGCCTGCCTCTTTTGAAATCCGTTCATATTATCTATGCAACATATTCATTCTTGCCTGAGCATTTCAAATACTTGTGTCACAAATATCAGTAAAGATAATTGCAGCCACCCTTCTAACTTCTGATTTCTTGTGTTCTTATTTGCTTTCCATTCATGTATTTCAGAGTTTCTCCCTATGTGGCCAGCCACTCCTGCATACATAGATTTTTACATAATGCCAGTAAATAGAAATGATTTAAAATAAAGATTTGGGGAACGTTTGGCAAACAAAAACCCACTTTGAGTGTTTTCAACAACTTGTATGTGAAGTTGCTGGTCTCCTGTCGTGGTGTGCCATGGGCAGGTTGGTGGTATTTTGTGCCACAGGACTGCACAATTAATATCTTAAAAGTCTTAGAGGTGGCAGTGATCTTGGGTGATCAGTGCTTGCTAGTGAAGGAGGAGCTTGGACACTTCAAAGATAGGTATCTCTTACAGCAATCCTGCACGACAGTTTCACAATTTTATGCATCACCTCCAATAAAATTGTATCTGCTATCTCAAACTTATTCTGCTATTTCTGTACAAGCCACACTAAGAAATGCTCATTGATTATAAAGTGTGACAGACAATTGTGCAGTGCTGGAATTTTCTTAATGCACACAATTATACTGCTGACTTTTCTTATATGTTTTTATGGGGGCAAAGAAAATATCTGACTTATTAAATTAACACTGTAGCCTGGTTTTACAGCTAATTAACTGACACCTAAAATGTGCAAGACATTCATTGAGAGGCATGCGCATGTCAGCGTGCGTATTTTTTGTATATAGAAGACCTTTGCTCTTGGTTGTACAGTTCAGCTGCTGCTTATTTGCACCATAGCTTGGGGGCTGCCTGTTTCTTCTCGGATCCCAAGACTCTTTGTAACATCTGTAATACTAATGATGCATCTTTGACAGATTCAAAGTTTGCCTTGTTTTCCCTTGGCTGTAATGGCCACTGGACCAGGCGTGGGAGGATGAAGATTTGCTGTCAGCAGTATTGAGATACTTGTCCCCTTTTGGTGAGGAAAGCATGTGGGACAGCTGCATGTTGCACGAAAACCAAATGGCAATAACAGAAACCTCCCTTAGCTGGATAGGTAAGCAGATATGTGTGGATCTCAGATGAGCTTTGAGTGGGCTGGCTGCCCAAAATAACTGTAATTTCCCAGAGTGGTACTACTGGTCTGCCAGATGAGAGGCAATGAACATTTTTTTCTCAGTGCTCTCATTTGGCATATCCGTTTTAACTTTCTCTTAAAAAAAAAAAAAAATCAGTTTTGTATAGATTTTAGTATTTTGCTAGGCTATGAGTATCACTGTGCTCTTGATAAACACTGATGCACAAGAAGGATCTTGTGAAGGGTCTTCAGGAACTAAGTGTATGCAAATTAGAATTGAATAAAAATGTTTATTGTTTTTGCATGTATATGCAAAATAAGCTTTCTAAAGAATGTTGAAATAGTCATAAAAATGAACTAACTCTAGCTCGTGTAATCTAGATGCTGAATGAGATAAGCAGGTAAGTTGGCTGTAGCTCAGGGTATGAAGAGTGGTATTGCAAGACTTTGGTTTAATTTTGAGTGCAAATAATTGAATGCTTTATGGCTTTAGTTTATCCAAAATGCTTGATTTATTCTATTTCAGTGCTAGCTGCAAAGCTTAAGTAAACAGTGTATTAACTTCCCAGAAAAATAATGTAGATATGCCTGTAAGGTGGGCTTGCATAAGCTTTTGTTAAGCAGGACTCAACTTGTTCTTAGTATATCATTAAAAAAAAAAAAAAAAAAATCAAGCTCCTGATCTTTGGTGAAGCTTCATACTAGAAACTGAAAGGAGCTCTTAGACTGGTACATCTGCTTCAAGGAGGTAATATTTGAAGAAGTGGCACAGGTAACTATAGCTGTGGCCTTTCCGTAGGTGGCAAGAGCAGCCTCGGGGCTGTGTCTGTATCCGTGCCCTGGGAAGGTGGGGTAGGGCAGTCTGGAGGCTGTTTAACAACACAAATGAAATTCAGCAGCAGCCTGGAGAAAATTCAAACTCAATCACTAATATTAATTGTAAAATGTAAATTAGACTTAAGGAGTGATAGGGCATGATGAGGTGAAGGATAAATTTCTGAACTCAGTGGCCGTGAATCGTCAGGAAGAGACGGCCTTTCTGTGTGTCCAGGCTGCTGGGTGATCCCTAACGCTGTGGAACGGCACTGGCTGAGACTGGGAGATCCTCAGGAGGTGCCTGGCGCAGTGCTCGAATGGAGCTTGTTGCTCACGGCCCATTCTGGTGCATTTTGACTGTCTCCACGGATGGAGAGTGCGTGACCTGCCTGAGCAACCGGTTCTTGCAGCTGACCACCCTAACAGCTAAAACTTATGTGCCCCTTGCCTCTCTTCCCTTTACTGGATGCAAACCACTGAGATGGTTCTGACTTTCTCCTGCTGCATGTTTATACTCAACAGCCTCCAGGCCAAGCAGCCCCAGCTCTCTCAGCCTCTCCTCCTGCCGCATCTGAAGCGATGGCCCGGTGCTTTGGGACAATGTTAGCAACGTGCTTCAGGCTTGCCTGGACTTGGGGCTGGAGAAGCAAAGCCACAGTATTTAACACCTTGTGAAAGAGGCTGTGCCTTTGTTTCTTTACTGCCACAAATGAAGTGGCTTTTGGCAGTGAGCACCTAGGCTCACTGGTGAAGATGTTAAACATATGATCTGACTTGTAGGTAAATACACCTATGATTTGTCTTGTGAACATTGACTGAGTAAGTATGTGTGAAGGCTTTGCAAATGAAAATTAAAGCCGAGTATTTGTGGATAGACTTCTTGTTGCTAAACAAAGGTTTAAATGTGTTTCATCAGATTTCCTCATCTGTTTGGATCAGTATAAAAAGGCACCAAAAAAAATTCATTTGGAATTGTTCCTTTTACATTCGCATACTTGCATGGCTAATATGGACATAGAACAGAGGCTATAACTTTGATTTTTAGTTTGATAGAAGCGGTTTCTGTTAATGATGATATTCATGCTGTTGTCTTGACAACTATTTAAGCTTGGGCTGGTAATAATCAAGCTCCTTTTATTATGGTCTAGACTCTCAGATGTATTTGACAAATAGCTTCCAAGGCTGGGCAAAAACCCAAGAAAATTGCACTGTAAGAATTTCTGTGGCTTCAAAAGTGTTCATGCATTTGATGCAGAAAAAAATGTAGGGCTTTAAAAACCACTCAAGAATGTATGAGACATTCTGTAATACATCTAACAACCCTGTTAGGCCTCTGATTTGGAATATGGGAAATATAAGTTCATATTTTTTATTCTAAGCTAGGCAGCTTTGATTTTCCAGTCTAAGAAACCATCTAATGGAACTATAGAGTTAAAGAAATGTGAGCTTGAAGGCTGAGATGAATAAGAACAGTGAGAAATATGTTGAAGTTGGCCGCTTTCCTCAAGTAATCGTAAGCTGTTGTGAGAGGTGAGTAAATTGAAAGGAGAAAAGGTAGTTGCTTCTGGGTTTCTGATTCGGGGTCTCATATCTGTTCAAAGACATCTTTCCTATTTTAAAGAAGGAAAATCCTTTGGAGTGAACTCTGGTGGTTCAGAATATCTGTTACAGGCTGACCTGCATCGACTGTGCTGCTTAAATGTTGGCCACGTATCTCCCCAGTGCAAGATGGGACTGCACGAGGGCAGCTGGGCTGTTGAACAAGCTCCTTAGTGCCAGAGGCCGTTTAGCTGCAGTAACAAGGCTCTGCTCAGGCAGATTTACCTCATTTCTCTCTTGGCTAGTGAAGGTGGGCAGTGTTCTTGAGCCCGCTCCACCGTTAGTGAACCTGAGTGAGCGCTGGTTGGATTGTCCTGCAGCAGAGTCGTTGATATCTAAAGGGAGATGTTGCAAAGCTGTGGTCCCATGCACGT